GAGACCTAATTTGAAGAAGAGGAACAAAATGCACAGTGATTTTCAAGATGAAAGAGGTCTTCATGGAGACACATTATAATCAAACTGTCAAAAGGGAAGGGCAAAGAAAGAATCATAAAAGCAACAAGAGAAAATTGACTAATTACAAAGGAGGGGGGAAGAGGGGAAGAAAGAAGCAAAAGATCTACAAGAAATCAGAAAACAATTCATAAAATGGCAATAATAAGATCTCACCTATCAATATTTTAAATATGAAAGAATTAAATTTTTTAATAAAAGACATAAAATGGACAAATGTATTATAAACCAGACCTTACTATATGCTGCCTACAAGAGACTCGCTTCATCTGAAAGGACACACACTAGCTGATGAAAGTGAAGGGATGGAAAAATATATCTCATGAAAATGGTTAACAAAAGAGCAGGCATGGCTACACTTGTAATATTAAAATATAGATTTCAAGTAAAAACCTGTCACTAGAGACAAAAGATATTATTATATAATAAAAAAGGTCAATATCTCAAGAGGATATAATAATTAAAAAAATATAAGCACTTACATTGAAACAACTGAAAGTATAAACTAAGAATTAATGCACATGAAGAAAGAAACAAATTACACTAGTAGGGAACAATGAAATATCCAATTTTTAAAAATGGATAGAACATTCAGGCAGAAAAGTAATGAAGAAATACTTGATTTTGAACAACACTTTAGAACAAATGGATCTAAGACACATATAGAACATCCTAACCAACAGTAGCAGAATGAACATTATTTGGTATCTCACATGGCATATTCTCCAGTATAGACCATATGTTAGGTTAAGAACAAATTTTAACAAATATAATAAGATTCCAATCATATCAAGTATTATTCCTATCTATAATAGTATAAAAGTGACTGATGCAAAAAACGGTCAAAAATTATTGGAAAACTTAATTCAACAACACATAAAAGGAATTCCAAATCATGTCCAAGAGGTACACATCTATGACATGAAAAGCTAGTTTAACACATACAAACTAACATTATACATCACATTTACAGAACAGAAGATAAAATCACATTACTATCTCAACAGATGCAGGAAAAGACTTTGACAAAATGCCATGCCCTTTCTTGATGAAAACTCTCAACGGTTTAGGTAGGAAGCTGGTAACCCTGCATGGGGTTGCTGCATTCCAGGATGTATTCCAGCCCCTGAATGACTTCTAAGGAAGGTGTGGCCCTGAGCTGTGGAAGCTGCCAGACCTTGAGAGGGCAGAGCTGTCTTTGCCAGGGGACAGCAGCAAGTCTGATCTGCTCACATTACTGTTCCACCAGTCCTTCCCAGAGTTCCTGCCTGGCCATGCCTGCATGGAGTGCAGCCTCAGAAACCCTTTCAGAATGCTTCTCCACTTGGCCACTGCCCTAGTGCTTTCACCAGCACAATGGGACAGCCATTGGAGCTTTTTGGCTGACAGCTATCTGCTGGAATGTGATTGCATGAGATCCCATTGCCACCCCTTCAAAGCACATTGGGCCACAGCTGACCCACCAAAGTGCCTCCCACCTGCAGTGTTCCCAGTAACCCCAGTGGAGTACCTTTCATCTGTGGTGCCCCTGCTAGAGTACTTCCTGCCTGCAGTGCTCCCACTTCCTTTCACCAGAGAACCTCCAGCCTGAAGCAATCCTGCTACTTTCTCCAGAGCACAAGTGCCTGTGGCCCCCATGTTGTCCCCTAAAGAATGCTGTTACCAGTGGTATGGAAACAGCTTGGTTTCCCCAGCCCAGCTCGTGCTTGACCTTGAGAAACCAGGGGACAAAGCTGTGGACCCAGTCTCAGCCACCCAGAGTTAGATCATGCAGCTCAGGATTATGGAATTGAGCCATGGCCCTCTGAAAGCACACAGAAATGAAGCCATTCAATTACACCCAACTTGTACCACAGTCTAATTTTCAATGCCAATAAAGATTATAAGAACAAAAGTGCCATCTAAAGGATAGTTACCTCGTAGGATAAAGGATCATCAGCCCTCACAGGTGAGAAAGAACCAGCAGAAGAACTGGCAATCTTAAAAGCCAGAGTGTCTTTCTCTTAACCAAACTGAAATGGCTGAAATGTCAGACACAGAGCTCAGAATCTGAATGGCAAGGAAGTTCAAGAGAAAGTTAAAATCCAATCTAAAAGAAAACAGTAAAATGATTGAAAAGTTGAAAGACTACATAACCATTTTGAGAAAGAACAAAACTCCTGGAAATAAAAAATTTGCTATAGAAATTTCAAAATACAATTGGAATAATTAATAACAGAATAAACCAATCTGAGGAAAGAACCTCAGAGCTTGAAGACAACTACTTTAAAGTAACACAGGAAGATAAAAATGAAGAAAGAATATGAATAAATGAATAAAACCTCTGAGAAATATGGGATTATGTAAAGAGATCAAATGTATGATTTGATAGCATTCCTGAAAAAGGTGAGAGAGAAAGCAACTTAGAATACAAATTTAAGAATATAGTTTACAAATTTTTCCCAAATCTCATTAGATAGTTTGACATTCAAATTCAAGAAATTCTGAGAACCCCTGTGACACACTATGCAAGATAATTATCCCCAAGACACATAGTCATTAGATTCTCTAAGCTCAACCTGAAAAAAACAATCTTAAATGCAGCTAGAAAAGCACTAGATCACTGACAAAGGGAAGACCATCAAGCCAACAGTGGGTGTTTCAGCAGAAATTTACAAGCCACAAGAGATTAGGACCCTATTTTCTTTTCTTCCTTTTTTTTTTTTTTTTTGTAGAGACAGGATTTGACCATGTTGGTCTGGTCAGGCTGGTCTTGAACTCCTGACGTCAGGTGATCCACCCTCCTCAGCCTCCCAAAGTGCTAGAATTACAGGTGTGAGCCACCGAGCCTGGCCAGGAACCTATTTTCAATACCTTTAATGAAAATAAATTCCAACCAAGAATTTCATATTCCACTAAACTAAGCTTGATAAGTGAAAAAGAAGTAAAATTATTCTCAGATGAGGAAATGCTAAGGAAATTTGTTACCATTAGATTTGCCTTATGAGAGGACCTGAGGGGAGTGTTAAAAATTAGAAAAAAAAAAAAAAAGACAATACCTGCCATCACAGAAATACACTTAAGCATGTACTACCTTGACACCATAAAGCAACTATACAATCAAGTCTACATTAACAACACAATGATAGAATCAAATCCTCAACATCAATATTGACCCTGAATTGTAAATGGTCTAAATCTTCCACTTAAAGGACATAGAGTGGCAAGTTAGATAAAGAAAGGAGCATGCAACTGTCTGCTGACTTCAAGAGATCTATCATAAGCAGTAATACCCATAGGCTCAAAGTAAAGGGACGGAGAAAGATTTATAAGGTAAATGGAAAAATGGAAAACAAGACAATCAGGAGTTGCTATTCTTATATCAGATAAAGCAGACTTCTTTAAACCAATATAATCACAAAGGACAAAAAATGGCATTACATAATAATAAAAGGGTTCAATCCATAAAGAAAGCTTAACTATCTTAAATACATACACACCCAAAAACAGACTATCCAGATCCATAAAACAAGTTTTTAGAGAAGTTTGAAGGGATTTAGACAATGAAACAGTATTACTATGGGACTTCATCATTAGACAGGTCATCAAGGAAGAAACTAAAAAAGATATTCTGGACTTAAACTTGACATTTGGCCAATTTGGACTTAATAGGTATCTACAGAACACCTCACCACCACCAACTGAATATGCATTCTTATTATCTGTACATGGCACATATAGTAACATCAACTATATGTTCAGCCATATAACAAGTCTCAACAAACTAAAAAAATAAATAATTCATATCAACTAGCAAACCAAATAGAGGAGTTAATTCACCACAGTCATACAGGTTTTACTCCTGGGATACAAAGTTAGTTCCATATACACAAATCAAAAAATGTAATTCATCACATAAGAGAATTAACAACAAAAACCACATGATCATCTCAATAGATGCAGAAAATTTCCTCCGTAAAATCTAACATCCCCTCATGATAAAGACCTTCTACAGGCTAGACACTGAGTAAACATAGTTCAAAACAATAAGAGCCATCTATGGGAAAACTATTGCCAGCATCATGATGAATGAACAAAAACTAGAAGCACTGAAAACCGGAACAATATAAGAATGCTTACTCTCACCACTCCTACCCAAAACAACATAGGAAGTACTAGCCAGAACAATCAGGCCAGAGGAGAAAATAAAAGGCATCCAAATAGAACAAAATAATACTAAACTGAATTCAGTAGCACATTAAAAGGGCTAAGTTTCATGACCAAGTGGGACTCAATCCTGGAATGCAAGGATTGAGTCAACATAAACAAATAAAACAATGTAAAATAGTGTAATACAGTATTTTAATATAATGAAGGACAAAAAGCCATATGATCATCTTAATTGTTGCAGATAAGATTTCACACACTTTTTAATAAAAGTATTGAACTAGGAATAAAAGTGTGGTGTGTAAGATGTGAACAATTACTATTATTGGGATTATAAAATAGTGCAGCTGCTATGGAATTAGTATGGCGATTTCTCTAAAAATTAATAATATAACTATTGTATGATCCATCAATCCACTCTTGGGTGTATATCCGAAAGAATTAAAATTGGAATTTTAAAGAGCTATCTGTACTCCTATGTATTCAGTGTTATTCAAAATAGCCAAATTATGAAATAGCCTAAGTGTCCATTGACATATGAATGAATAAATAAAATCACACACATACACACACAATATAATATTATTCAGCCTTAAAATGGAATGAAATCTTGTCACACACTATAACATGAAAAAATTGTGAGTACATTATGTTAAGTGAAATAAGCCAGTTACAAAAAGAAAAATACTATATGATTCTACTTATACAAATAACCTAAAGTTGTCAAATTTGTAGAAATAGAAAGTAAACTGGTTCTTATCAAAATTTGCGGACAGGCGTAAAATGGGGGTTGTATAACAGGTTTAGAGTTTCAATTTTGTAAGGCAAAAAAAATTTTGAGATTTCTTTCAAAGCATTGTGAATATACTTAACACTATTGAAGTGTGGACTTAAAATGGGTTATGGTGGTAAATTTTATGTTTCTTCTCATAACAAAAAGCCCATTAAAATGATTTGTGTTTCAAAATCCAAAAATGTGTATTTATGCTCCTTCAAGTAGATATTAACTTTCAAAAATCTGGTATTACTGAAGAGATGAAAACAAAATGCATACCAAAGCAATCCCTGCAGCAAATGTTGGATCACATACCATTCCATAGTATGTTGTTCCCACATAATTAGGATGATCTCTGTAACTGAATTAAATTTTTTTCTTGTGAATAAAAATATTTTAATTCATTAATAACTTAATCATCTTTCATAAATTGAACACCCAAATTAAGCTATATTTTCCTTAACCATGAATATTGCATATCATCTCTTATACTATTAAGCATTTTCTATTTGGATTATCTCCCAACTTTATATCAAGAAAAGTTAAGTTCTAAGAGCTATTGACCATTATATGATACACAGCACAAAACCTAGCATTGTCTAATCTTTCCCCCAAATTAATTATTGCTGTCAGCATAACTGGCTGGATAAAATCTAAAAGTCAGGGCTATTACTGCCATGATTTTCACATAGTAAACCAACACATTTTAAAGAATGTTAAAGGAGAGAGACAGGGAGAGAGAATCTGCAGTACATTCACTACAAAAAAAGAGAGAAATTATGTAGTATGATATCCTCACATATTTTAGTCATTTGTTAATGTTGCTTCTGAATTCCCAAACCCTACTTCTGGTTCCACAGGAGACACCATAGATTTGCAAATTTATTACATGTTGCTTAAGATCTTTAGGATTGTGTTTTTGGCCCTAAATAATCAAATTAGTAAAACAAAAAAGAAATCCATGTAAAGACTCTTCAGAGATATGCAGCAAATAGTTGAATAGCTGCTATACATTAGATTATCATGGAAATGCCAGAAGAACCACAGGGATGATAAAAGTAACCCATTTCAGTAATTTACTATTTTAATGTTTTGCATTATAGCCAGCATCATATGAAATTTTTGCATTCATTATTTTTGCATATTTTTATCCCATTTGTTTATATTTCAGATAATGATAAAATTATGGTTTTAACTATTTATCACAGAGAACAGTTTTATAATTATTAAGGTCCCATGTTTATCCCAAAGTTTTACATTTTTCAGCTCATTATACTTCCATAAGTAAATGACCCATTTTGAGAACAATGTCCTACTATGATTTAACTAATGTCTTATATGTTTATCAGATTTTTATATTCTGCATTTTGACAACACATTGTTCATAAATCTTTCTAAGGTGTCTTAGCACCTTTTGTGTATAATTTTGATAGTGAACATATGAAATATTTGAAACCCCCTATTGGTGTGAATAAATTGCTTACATTAATAAATAGGCCATGATATGGGATCTTTGAAACATAAATTTTTGTTTTCATGACAAAAACCTTTGTAGTACATCATCAGCATCCCCATTAGTTGAAATCTTATTTTCATCTGACCAGAGCTCCAAAGAAGCTAGCATAATAGTCATTTTAAGCTGAGAAAACACCTGAAAGCAGAAAATATATGATATACAGTTTTGGGTAACCATAAATATAACATTATATCTATATACATAATGCTAATATATTCAATTTACTATTTTTTTGGAGGAAAATCCATTCGTGGATGAAACTAGTTATCACAACTGTAGTTTTTATAAAAATGAAAATGCTATTTATATAAATAGTGTTACTGCATTAAAATAAATGTTTCTTATTAAATACTAAAGATAAATACTTACAGTGTTGATAAGACCAAAGATGTGGACAACTTTCTCAGCTGCAGCTGTCACATCAGAACCCATATAATCATACTTAAAGACAAATTTTCTTTCTTAATCCCTAGTGAAAATGACTCAACTATTACATTGTAAATGTATTTAAATATAAAATGTTAGAATAATGCAGTGCTATGCTAAAGTGAAGAGACAAAAAAAAATTAAGTGCTTACTAAGTTTGAGGCATAATCCTAGGGACTTTAAACATTAATTAATGATATTAAAATGAGATAGTTGTGATTATCTTCCTTACATTTATGTATACACTAAAGGTCAAAAAGTGAAGTTTCCAAGAGCACATGATCATTAAAGCTTGGAGTCAGGCCTCAGAATTTTCACTCAGCTACTAAGTCTATTTTATCTACTGTTGTATGCTTCCATCATTTGTCTTCATTCCAATAAAACAGTGTGACTACATATCTTGGATAAACATATATATGCTTTCTAAACACACTGCCCTAGGTACTGCAATGGCGATTAATTTCAATAATGCATCCTCATTCAAGAGAAAAATTATAGTATTTTCTCTGAAATGTTATAGCAAATGATATACACATACATTTCTGTTTGCTGAAAACACAAAAATTCATAGCTTGGGATCTTCAGTAATCTCCAGAAAGTCTGCAGAAGACTCCTGATAGAAATAAATAATGTAATAGAATTCCTCTCTGATATAGATACAAAAGAGATGTTATTTTCCTAACTTGGAGTCCAGACCTTTTAGAAACAGTTCTATGTTTTCCCACTTCTTTGCATGTAACCTTCCTCAATTAACCCTGTTACACATTTACACAATGTAGGATATGTGGTATGAGTGAAGGTGCTCCTTTACAAGGCTAAACATATGAAAAGCAAAAGATAACAGAAGTGAATCCAAATATCAATAGATCAAATACTAAAGGACAAAAAGGAGTACCAAGCTAGCTTTGAAATTTACTGCTTTTGGTCAAAATACACTCTTCAGCTAGTGCTTTCTTCCAGCTGGTTGTCTTCTTGCCTGCCCTGTGTTGTAAAATGGGGTTCTTTTACTGCATTATCAAGGGGAAGGCAAGACTGGGATATCTAGTCCACAGGAAGATCTGCACCACTGTCGCCTTCACACAGGTTAACTTGGAAGACAAAAGCCCTTTGGCTAAGCTAGTGGGAGTTGGCTAAGCTAGTGGGAGTTATCAGGACCACTTACAACAACAGATATGATGAGATCTGCCATCACTGGGGAGGCAATGTCCTGGGTCCCAAGTCTGTTGCTCACATAGCCAAGCTCGAAAAGGCAAAGGCTAAAGAGCTTGCTACTAAACTGGGTTAAATGTACATTGTTGAGTTTTCATTACATAATTAAAACAATACAAATTTTCCATTAAAAAAAAAAAGGAAATCCTGTACACACGAATTTAAAACCCCGAAAACATAAGAACACAGAAATATTAAGAGCTAAAGGATGAGAACATATACCATAAAAATACTAGAAAATAAGCATATGTTATGTTATATGATAGTTATATTAATTAACAGTAGTTACATTGATACACATGTATATTTATTTATACTTTAAGTTCTGGGATACATGTGCAGAATGTGTAGGTTTGTAATACAGGTATACATGTGCCATGGTGGTTTGCTACACCCGTCAACCGGTCATCTACATTAGGTATTTCTCCTAATGCTATCCCTCCCGTATCCCTCCAGTATCCCTCAGCCCCTGACAGGTGCCATTGTGTTATGTTCCTCTCCCTGTGTCCCTGTGTTCTCATTGTTCAACTCCCACTTATTAGTGAGAACATGCAGTGTTTGGTTTTCTGTTCCAGTGTTAGTTTGCTGAGAATGATGGTACAGCTCTATCCATGTTCCTGCAAAGGACATGAACTCATTCTTTCCTATGGCTGCATAGTGTTCCATGGTGTATATGTGCCACATTTTCTTTACCTGGTCTATCATTAGTGGGCATTTGGGTTAGTTCCATGTCTTTGCTATTGTGAATAGTGCTACAATAAACATACTTGTAAATGTGTCTTTATAGTTAAATGATTTACTTAAGATGGGTTAAAGACTTAAATGTAAGACCTTAAACCATAAAACCCTAGAAGAAAACCTAGGCAATGCCATTCAGGACATAGGCATGAGCAAAGCAAAAGAGAATTCAACAGTCTAAAGATAAATCTTAGAAACACAGACCTATTAGAAGGAATTAAAAGCTTTGGAAATGGTAAATATGTGGAGAAAAATAAATACATTCTTTCTTTTCTTAATTTCTTTAAACAACTACTACTCAATTAAAAATTAACTTCTTGTGTAGTTTATGACACATGAGAATTAAAATATATTACAACAAAATAATGACTGATTTAGGTTAAATGAAGCTTTATTGTTTTATGGCTCTTACATTATATATGAGGTAATTCTAGATAATAATAAGAGTGCTAATTGTAACAACTAGAAAAACCACTGTGATGAAGGTTTGGAAACTGAAGATAGCAAAAAATAAAAATAAAAAATAAAATAAAAAAACAAAAGATAAAAATAAATACTGAAAATAACCCAATAACCCATGGGTAGGAAACAAGGAACAAAATAGCAAATAATTGTTGTGAAAAAAAGAACACTAATAACACAGTAGTACTTAACTTACATGTATAGTTACAAGCACTTTTGATAAACATAAATCAACTAAATGTTCTAGTGAAAAGGCAGGGTTTATCTGACTGGATAGGGAGAAACAAAGACTGTCAATCATTTTGTTATTTCCCAGTGTTATACTTTAAAACTAAAGAGAGATAAGTTTAAAGTAAAAAGAGGGGAAATACTAACCATAGGCTATTATTTCAAAAAAACTCTCTGGTTGTTTTTGAAGGATGACTTTTGCATTAAAGTGGTTTCCATTGCTACTGGAATGGTAAGAAGGTATATGGCTAAGTGGGGACAGGAGAGTAGGCTGATGGATTTAATTTTAGCTGTGGCAAAGCATAATTCCAATGCTGTGATCCTGCTTTTTGGTGAAAGAGTATTATTTCTCATGAAATAACAATAATAATAAAAATCTAAATGTCCTGAAAAGACATTTGCTAGTAAAACAGATTAAATTACATTAAACATATTAAATAGATAATATATAAATATTGACATTAAATTGACATCATGTATTTAATGAATATGAAGGAAAACATAAAACAGTTCACAAAATAGCATATATACAATAAAGGTTTATATATATATATATATATATATATATACACATTACATAAAAAACAGAAATATAAACATATAATTTATCACCTTGTCATAAAATTATTTTATTCATCTATATTTTTCTATTTTTAAATAAAAAGTTATGCACATGTTTTGTTTTATGAAGAAAATTTAGAACATTCTGACACTCGTTAAGAGATTTTATCTAAAAATATCAATGATAATTAGCAAATCAGTCATTTTAACTTACTGATAATAGGTCTTACTGAAACTGATTGTGTAAACAATTTCCATAGCAACCTGAATGTTCTTATAAATAATTCTTCTCATTTTTAAAATGCAGAGCCTCTACAAGAGAACTCAAGCAATTACAAAGCATGTAATAATCTTAATATATATAATATTTAGTGCGAAAGATCTCCAGTTGAGTAATAAGTGAAATAGCTTCTTTTAAAATAATAATAGATTTAGGGAAAAAGTTTCATCTAAGAGTTGAAGTGGATCCAGAATATCTGCTACTAGTTATAATCCAGTAGACTGTAGTGTGGTAGTCCTCCTCTAAAAATTTGTACATTATTGCTAGACTTTTATATAAATTTGGTAATCAGTACCTAAATATTGATCTCCCTAGGTCAATGTAAAGACACCATTGATAACATTCTTAATGTCCTGTTTTACTGAGACACTGAGACACAGTTTTGAACAAAGTAAAATATGACTGCACTGCAAACAATAGAAATTTATTTTGCATATTCCTTTTGATTTTAAACAAAAAAAAAACAAAGATAAAATGAAATATATCTATAATGCATACCAAGGCTTTATCCACAATGATTTGTATTTTCAGGGTTCTTTTCAATAGTGCAACATGTGACTCTCTCTGTGAAACAGAGTACATGAATTAAACCAATTTCAAAATTTTTACATTGAAATTATTATGTGCTATATATTTATATATACTATATATGTGTACACACCAACACAGAGGTAAAGTAGATAAAGTTCTATACAAATACAGATGCAGATACATAGATACAGCTATAGCTCCAACAATAGATATAGATGTAGATCATAGGAAAATAAGAGAATGAATGTCTACTTAGTAAATAAGCAAATCAGAGTCCAAATAAAAATTTTAGTAGACAACAGGAAGCTTTAATTCTATACTCTTGATAATATCTTCAAAAAATGAGAGAATTTAATGTTTCCACCCTCTCAAAAATTCATGGATTCTCTGTAGGATGTCACCTTCACCTTCAAGCTAAACAACTTTACCCTAAATGATGTCTCTATTTTCTCATCATTTTTGTACTTATAATTTTTTTGAACTTTGTTGAACATTATGTTCAATAAAATCCATCAGTTTTAAATATAAAGTTATAAGAGTTGCCGTACACTCCTACATATACATTTGTCACAATTAAAATAATGTTTCCAGGGTTCTTTACTGTGTCAATGGACCACGTGATTCAAGACAATAGATAATCTAATTCTTTTTACTATTGGTTAGAATAATCTGTTCTGAAATTTCATATAACTAGAATCATATGACTTGCACTTTTTAAATATCTGGCTTCTTTCACTCAGTATTCATGCATGTTGTGATTACTAGTTGTCCATTAGTTTTTATTGCTAAGTAGTATATTATTTATAGATACATCATAATTTGTTTATACATTCACCTGGTGGTGGTCATTTAGATTACTAACTACACATTTTAGCAACTATAAATGAAGAATCTCTGAGTATACAGGTCTTTCTGCAGTTATGTTTTCTTATTTTTCTTGGTAAATATTTATAAGTAGAATACCTGAGTCATATGGTAATTGTGAGTGTGTAAATAGTAAAAATAAGCCAAATTGCTTTCCTGTTTGATCATTTTCATTCTCAACAAGAATAAATCAATTCCCATTGCTCCATATTCTTGCCTATATTTTGTACTGTCAGTCTTTTTTGTTATATTTATTCTTGTCGGTCTGTATTGATAGCTCATTGAGGTTTCTTTGCCATTCTCTGATGAGTAGTGTTGTTGAACATCTTTCATATGTTTCTGGCCCACTAACTTGTTTTTTCCTAAAGTTTCCATTAGAAATTTTATTTAGCCTTGACGTATAAGTCTATGCCTAATTCATTTTTCTACATGAGTCAAAGTATATTTTATTCTATATGGTAAACAATTATTCTAGCAATATTTGTTGAAAAGATCATTTTTTTACCCTTTGAAAGTCCTGGCACCTTTATGAAAAGTCTACCAATAATATATGGGTCTACTTCTCATCTCTCCATTCTGTTCTCCATCTCTTTTCTTATGCCAATAACACAGTATCAGGAGGGTTTGATTCTCATGGACTAATCTAATTACCTTCCAAAGTCTGACCTCTTAATTCCATCTTTTTGTGGGGAAGTTCCACATGTGGATTTGTAGGGTACATAAGCATGCAGTTTATAGCAGGGGAGAAACAGGGAGTCATTTACATTAATTATGTAAGCTGTAAGTTTCTCATAGATGTTCTTAATTAGGTCAATAAAGTTTTCTTTTTTTTTCTTTTTTTTCAAAATGGAGTCTCCCTCTGTCTCCCAGGCTGGAGTGCAGTGGCATGATCTTAGCTCACTGCAACCTCCGCCTCCCAGGTTTAAGCGATTCTCTTGCCTCAGCATCCCAAATAGCTGGGATTACAGGCGCATGCATCCATACTTGGCTATTTCTTGTATTTTTAGTAGAGACGAGGTTTCACCATGTTGGCCAGGCTGGCCTTGAACTCCTGACCTCAGGTAATTGCCAACCTCAGCCTCCCAAAGTGCTGAGATTACAGACTTAAGCCACCACTCCTGGGCCAATAAAGTTTTCTACTCGTACTTTTTATCATGAA